TGTGTGTGTGTGTGTGAGTGAGTGTGTGTGTGTGTGTGACTGTGTGTGTGTGTGTGTGTGAATGGCGCAGACGCGTGGTTTGTTTACTACACGCACACACACACACTGAAGCGTGTGATGCTCGCGGTGATTACAGCGTCTGTCGTCTCACTAATGAGGACATAAACACATGAACAATCTCCAGAACTGCTCTGAGAGTCACTTCATGAGCGTTTCATCTGAGTCAAACTAGCCTCATATCACACACACAGAAATGTAACGGTATTCACAGCAACCCGTCAAAATAAAAGTGTTTGGTTTAACTTGAAGACAGAAATATATTACTATTGTTCAGTAGAACGTACATACTACTACTAAAATTATTCAAACGTATTCAAACTAAAATCATGACATTTCTTCCTTTTAATAGTAAATCCCCTTTGTTTGCCAAAAAAAATTAAATTTGTTTAATTTTCAATAATTAAAAGATAAATGAAATTAATGTTAATTTGATAACCAGAAAAAAATACGTTTTTGAACATTTATTGAAAATATTTGTTTTTGTTTTAATATTATTATATTATATTATAAGCCTAATAATTAATTGACCTCCAAAAGGGAATTCATGAGCAATAACTGCTTTATTTTTATATCATATTACTATAAAGAATTAAACTGTTCTGTGTGAGACTTTTTAAAATGATTTTTAATAGAATTTCTTTGTAAGTAACAGAGCATTGTAAAAAAAAAAAGTTTTCTCAGTTAACCTAAAATGTGCATCATGTAGTTGCATCAAACATAAATAACAAATTAAAAGTTTCACTGGTCTTTTTTGCTCAGAAATGTCCGCCCACCAGAGAAAAGTTTTGCTCAGCAAGAAAAACATTAGAGGGAACATCGCCCTGAACATGGCATTTTTGTTAAACTTTTAATAAATTGATGTGAAATTGTATACATTTCATAATTTTACATGCTTTTTGCTTGTTTTTTAATTTAACCATTAAAATGAGTCCAGAAAAATGTAAACGGAAAAAACGGAATTTGGTAAAAAATCTAATGGAATTTGGATTTCATAAGGCCCCACACTTTCAACTTCTTTCAACCAAACATCTGACAAAACTGAGCTCATCGGCCAGACGAGGCGGCAGATATCAGCAGAGGCATGTTTAGGTTATGTTTCAGCTGTTTTATGCCATATTCTTAGGGACTTTATGACTGACCCTTTTCCTCACTGATTTTCTGAACCAGCTCATAATCGTCGGCTCGCTCGCGGTCCAGGTTGTGTTTGATCATGGCTTTCCTCACGACTGCAGGAGTCTTATCCTGACTGGTGACCTGAAACACACACACACACACACACACACACGGCAGGAGTCCCGACTGTGACTACAATGGTCACATTTGCAAAACTCTTAAAATCTGGCAACAGGTAACAGCTAGGGTTGGGAATCAAAAAATCAATTCCAATTCCAGAATC